ATGAAAATTATTATTGAGGGAAATATAGAAGGAAAGAGGGGGAGAGGAAGACCAAGGAATAGCTACATCAAACAAACTGAGGACAAAATGGGAGTCGTGTCGTATCAAGAATTAAAGAGCATGATGGAAGATCGCGGAAAGTGGCAAGAGCTCCACCGACAAGAGCGTAGCTCTTAAATTATGAATGAATGAATGAATTATATTTTCAATATTGCCTATATTGAAAATATAATTCATTCAGTCATCTGAATTTGTTGCTATCAAATTAAAAGGTAAACACGGTACAAATAGCATCTTATATGGTAACTTACTTATGCATAAACGATATCCTTTGGACCATATAACTGCATACACTCTACCTGAGGATATAAAAACCATCGCTCCTAAGAATCCTTCAATCTCAACGAGTCTAGATAGCGAACTTTGAAAAAGATATGTAAGTCGCAGTGCCAGAAGTCTAAGCATCTGACAATAGCTCAAAACCATAGAAAAATTACTACCTTTCCAAATCAAGTAATTTAGTAAGAAGGGGGCAAAATCTTTCCATCTTTGTGGTAAGGGACAGAAAGGCATGTATTGGTGGAATGCAAGTGGCTCCTCGACAGGGATAATTACTATCGTCGCCATGCCTTACTTCAAGTTATTGAAGCTGCAACTCTTTCAGTAACTAGACCTCGAAAAGGAATGACTACAAACAAAAAACCAATTAATATTATAAATGAAGGTTTAACTCTAAACTTCAAAAATAAACCTTTCTCAATCCTAGATATTGCATCTAATCGGACTATTTAAATGGACACGTATGAAAAGCAAGCAAGGATATTGATATTTGTAGTTAATTTAAATTCAAGAAAGGTATATATATATATATATATTTTAATAATAATGGGTTTGCGCTTGGTCTTACCTCATCTGATGGTAAATGATGGCAAGGTCTAGAATGTAGCGCGCTTACCTCTGGGTAAGATATCTATTCTCCATAGACTTGAAGAATCCGGGGTTGTATTTCTCCAGGTCCACAATTTAAGTTTCTTAAGGGTCGGTAACGCGCACGTGTTTACCCTAGTGTTTTAGGCACTTGTTTACCATCATTGTAGTGTACATAGAATCTAGAATCGTATGAAGAGATTTTAAAAGTTTTTCCTGGTTTTAGTTGAATAAACTAAATATATATTTTAATAATAAAGATACAATGTTGCTGTTACATATTTTGTTATTTTATTTAGGATCACTAACAATTCTTGCAATCATACAATTTATTTAATTACATGTTTTTGGTTATGATGTTAGTGCACAATTATTAGGCGCAGATGGCATACAAAATAATATACGAAAGTCATATAACAGAAATCTTAAATTAACCGTTTTTTTTTATTATGGCTACGCTTATCTACTACTGCGTGTGTGTGTATGTGTTTAGTATTAAAATAGTAATAAAATAAAAAATTTTCACTGCTCCAATAGAGCTATTAAACGGTTATGTATGTATATATATCTATACATATAAATAAAATTGGAGTCTCTGTTTGTAATATTGAAATAACCGTTTTTACTACATGCATATGAATATAAACACGACACATACCCCAAAACAACATTTTTTACAATTTTTGATAAATCTCTGAAATGGCTGGACCGATTTTGACGGGACTTTTTTAGCAGGTAGCTGATGTAAGAAGGAGTAATCTAGGATACTTTTATTTTAGAAAAATGGAGTTAAATTCCATACGGACGAAGTCGCGGGAACAGCTAGTATTAAGTATGAATGAATAAATTCCAATATCGGATTATCTTTACTATACAAATTTCAACACTGGTCAGAACTTGGAGTCCAGGTCCTCTTGAGAGTATCAATATCATAACTTCAATGGCAGCACTTCGTCTCTGGCGTGACGAAACTTTGCAAACTCTCTTTGGATTCACTTTGAAACAAATGGAATAATCGTTGCTGTTTCTATTCGAGCACACAAAATAGTTCTCGCCGTCCGTAGAGTCCGAATGTCAAAACGGTAGATAAAGTTACACGGCAGTGGTGTTGAGGCAGTATTGAAGTGATGCCATCTATTACTTCCACTCTAAAAACTCTTAGAGCGCTGTCAGACTTGCAGTTTAGATTTTGGTTTACGTAACATTTTCTTTTGTTGTATCTAATATATAAAACTCTCGTATCACAGGATTAGTTGGAATATTTCTTCGAAACGATCTAACCGTAACCATAATAATGTTGCGAACTATTTTTTATACGTTTTTTATTATTAATGTTTTTTTATAATATTATATTGTTTTTATATGTCAATTACCCAATATTTTACGACTATCCGGTGCCGTTGTCTTTGCTCGTCATCTTGGTCTCCATCCTTCACAGAGTAGGTCTGAGGATACGTAGTTATTTATTTGTTATATAATGTTATATAAGTAAAGCCTAGCCCACTTCAGTTTATGATATTTTTAGATCCAATTAGAATTTTAAAAGATTTCGCATTAAATAATACGTAAATATTATAGTAGATGCTGAATAAATCTGAAGTAAAAATTGTATATATTTATCAACATTGTGAAAAATGATTTATTCCAGTCGTTTCGACTTGAAATCTTACCACACAAACAGATAATCCAATAAACAGACAGGTTTCACTTCATCGCGATTTTACGATTTAATTATATGTAAAGAACAAAGGACGTACATTTTTTTGAGTTTGTTTTCAGTAACGTTTGTCTTTCAATTTTGTTTTGCAGATATTTGATACTAGTAATTAACAATCAAGGTTTTTAGAGAAGCAATAGCAACGATTGTTGCTGGACTGATTACTTAATTAGAAGCAGTCTTTACAAATGTAATATCTACTAGGTAACCCTCGCTTAGGAACAGTGTAAAGTAAATAAAATAAATACCTTGTTATTTTGTGACAATATAACATTTTATAAACAAAAGTGTTTCAAAAGGTATCTAATATGTTTGTGAATTAGAAAACAGTGCTTCTAAATTATAATAATCTCACAACAACAATTCACACAGCGCTATCTAGACCCACGTTAAGTTAGCTGAAGCTTGTGTTATGGGTACTAGATAACTGATACAAATACATAGATAATTTTTTTTCGTAAATACATATTATACATAGAAAACACCCAGACCGATACGAACAATCATACTCATGAATACAAATATTTGTGCCGTGCGAGGAATCGAACCCGCGACCATTGGATTTAAAACGGTGTGCTAGACCGCGATTCCACCGAGGTCGTCATGAGTTAAGATTTATTAACTCATGATTGCATTATTTGGTAATCTTGAGGTTTAAAACACCGCCTTATTTACGCTGATCGTGGGTTCGATTTCTCGAACGGCAGCTAGTAAAATATATATATTAAGCAAGTTTATATTAATTTACTTATCTTAGTGTAGATAGATAACTCACTTGTCGTACCTATATTAGCTAAATTACTGCTGTCGTCAACTGGCTTCTAAATGAATCGACTCTAACGAAAATCTAAACTAACAATTTCTAGTTTGCTCCGAGCGAGTTTAGTTCCCATTACAGCAAGGTCAAGCTCTCACTCCACACACTTTAATATTAAGTCCTTCAGCATACGAGCTGCTTATTTATAATCCTCGCATTAAAATAAGCTCTCAACCAACTCATTTCCTCCTACACTTCCCCTACCACACGTTCTCGACCTCGAACTTTCTCGAACTTTCTCGAACGTTCTCGAACTTTCTCGTACCTGAATATTTTCTCTTTTACTATTTTTAATTAAAATATACACTTTTAAAGTTAAAGTACTGATCTTTAATAAAACAGTCATTGTCAATCAGTGTCAGTCAATATCCGTTGCGTAGTTTAAAAGATTTAAGCGAACAGTAGAAGCGACTTTATACTATATGATGAATAATAACAATGTAAGACTTTAATCCCGCATGTCAGGTGTATAACCAACTGTCTATATCGTAGCATGCACACATTTTAGTGCCAATGACAACTGAGCATATTGGCTTCTCTAGGATTAAGTTGTTCTTTAAACAGCTTTATCAGTAGAGGGTCACTCGAAAATATATTTGTTTCAATATTCTATTAAATGACAGATACCGGCTTCTCTCGGATTAAGTTATTTTTTAAAGCTTTTGTCAAAAATATGAATAATTGTTTAACTATTTTATTATTGGACCTAGGATTTATTAATAACGGTGATTCAATGGTGCAGATTCGATTTCTGCCACAGTGAAAATGTTTGGATTTATGAGTACATAAATCCAAACACTTTGTTTGTAATTATTACATTATGTTACATACATAATGTAATAATTACATACAAAGTATTACAAAAAAAAAAATTAAGTATCTATATCTAATACCTATAACACAAGCATGGGTTAGCTTGAGACTAGATGGCGTTGTGTGTCCAGTGATATGTTATTATGTTATAAATATTTAACCAGTAATAAATGATAAACTTTACACAAAGCTCATTCTATTCAAAGTCACAAATGATTTTTTTAGTCGATAGTGTGCTACATGGCCAAGAATGCTACATTTATTTAATAGTAATATTAACTCATGTAGTTTTTGTTATTTATTCTCGTTTCTTTAATTACTGAATTGGGCGGTCATAGGGCGTAGCAATTTTTAAAAGGTTTAAAAATTAAACAACAAAAATCTCATTTAAAGAAACAAAAAAGAATTTTTTTCTCGTCTAAAAGACTAATGACTAATAGATAGATAAGATAACTCTCGCCTAATGAGTAGAACCGATATGGCATATAGAGCCTTGTAAGAAGACGTACTTCTAAATGCATTACAATAACATTAGCGTATTGTAGAATACAAGTGGAGCAAAATATTGCGGCTCTGTCATGAATACCAATTTACTGAGTAGAAACAAACCACCATACGCCTCATAGAGTCATAAGCTCTTTTATCTCCATTCAGCTTTAAAATATATAAGTTACCTTTGCTCCATTTTCTGAAGGTATAATTAAAAAAAAAACTTTTTTTTTTCAGAGCTCATCAGTGGACCACGTCACATATGCATACGGCGTTGGTTTCGTAGGCGTTTACGACTTTGGCACTATGTCTCCTTACACTATGATAGATAATGCAGTGATAATTTTCTCAATAATCTTCACAATAATATCATTCGCGAGATCTCTAATAGTGAGGATACTGTACTTGATGCTGACGTCTTGTGTTGAAGTGGAGATCTCAATAACGCCTCACTATTTGCTATTTGCAATTTTACCACTGAGCACGGAATTTCTATATGCTCATAGGTTATATATAATTTACATATATGCAAATGTGATGGTCGCTACTATAGCTTATCTTGTAAGTAATTTTTATATATACTATCTTTATTTTTTAATTAGAACAGCAATTGATGGTAAATGGTCATTGCACGGTATACCACTAATGTGTTGCCATTGCATAATACTATGAGATTCTGTAATTCACCTACCAAATCTGCACGCAAAAATCTAAACACATGTTACAAAGAGAGCTGATTATTAGTTGAAGTAGGGGAGACTGAAATGCTCGCGAAGTCACTTTTACAAAGTCTATGGTCTACCACGCTCATCACTTCTGCAGTACCTATCTCATGTTACACGTTCAAAGCTCGGAGTTTCCTAGTTCTACACAACTAGAAAATAAGTTACAAAGCGGTTTCCTGAAATAGACATGACCGATGAATCCGAGAGGTCACATTTACAAAGTCTAAAGTCTACCACGCTCATGATTTTTACAATTCCTATCTCATGTTACATATTCGTATTTCGGAGTTTCATAGACCTACACAACCAGAAAACAAGTTACTAAGCGGTTTCCTGAAATAGACATGACCGATGAATCCGAGAGGTCACATTTTCAAAGTCTAAAGTCTACCACGCTCATGATTTTTACAATTCCTATCTCATGTTACACGTTCGTATTTTGGAGTTTCATAGACCTACACAACCAGAAAACAAGTTACTAAGCGGTTTCCTGAAATAGACATGACCGATGAATCCGAGAGGTCACATTTTCAAAGTCTAAAGTCTACCACGCTCATGATTTTTACAATTCCTATCTCATGTTACACGTTCGTATTTTGGAGTTTCATAGACCTACACAACCAGAAAACAAGTTACTAAGCGGTTTCCTGAAATAGACATGACCGATGAATCCGAGAGGTCACATTTACAAAGTCTAAAGTCTACCACGCTCATGATTTTTACAATTCCTATCTCATGTTACACGTTCGTATTTCGGAGTTTCATAGACCTACACAACCAGAAAACAAGTTACTAAGCGGTTTCCTGAAATAGACATGACCGATGAATCCGAGAGGTCACATTTTCAAAGTCTAAAGTCTACCACGCTCATGATTTTTACAATGCCTATCTCATGTTACACGTTCGTATTTCGGAGTTTCATAGACCTACATAACCAGAAAACAAGTTACAAAGCACTTTGCTGAAGTAGGTGAGATTGAAGTACCCGCGAAGTCACTTTTACAAAGTATAAACTCTACCACACTTTTACAATTACACGTTATTAGCTCGGAGTATCATAGCCTTACAATTAATATAGGTATATATACATACAGTACAGGTATATATTATAATACACGTTTGGCACTGAAAACAGAATTTTTGTATGCATACATAGTGCCTATATTTGCATATATGCAAATTTCATGGTTGCAACGATAGCCTACCTAGTAAGTAATGTGTACGTGAAAGCCCACAATAGAACCGTTTACGGGCGACACGATCGAGCGATCACCCCACACCGACCCTTCAATCAAGCATACTACCACCCACCCAGGTTGTTTAGCGTGGCAACACTATGCAAAATTACTATAGGATCACGCTGTATATATGGCTATGCGAAATAACTTACCGTACGATACAATCTTTATACATTTTATCGAAATAAATAATTCTAAGAAAATCATACAGTGTCATCTAATCGCAAATTAAGCATAGCTCATGTTATGGGTATTATATAAGTATAAATACTTAGATATACATAATATACAAAGAAAACACCCAGTCCGATACAAACAATCATACTCATTAATATAAATATTTGTATCGTGCAAGGAACGAATTAAGATAAGATATTACAATAACAATTAAATATATATATTGTAATTATATTGTAAGTATATTGTACAAAATAAAAAAAAAATTAGGGGTGGTCTACCCCTAACATTTAGGGGGATGAAAAATAGATGTTGGCCGATTCTCAGACCTACTCAATACGCTCACAAAATTTCATGAGAATCGGTCAAGCCGTTTCGAAGGACCGAAAACTGTGACACGAGAATTTTATATATAAGATACCACTAACAATTTAATGTAACAAACCAATAAATGATATATTATGTGAAGTAATTCTAGTGAGAGTAATAGAATCATCTTTATTCAAATAAACCTAATATATGAACTTTTGAATAGCAATATTTTTTTATTCTACCACTCGTTCGGAGCGTAGACTTATTACAAGATGAATGAGCATAAGAATAAAGTAAAATATCCTTTATTCAAATAAACTTAATTTAAAAAACTATTGAATAGTGATCACCATTTTTTTAATCTACCGCTCATTCGGAAAGTTGTTTCAGCACAAAAAGAATGAGTTTAAAACTTGTTTGTTGCTCTTTTAAATAAACACGTATAGAAATAATAGGTATGCCAGTTGAGTTTAGAGCTAATTTTTCTAATTGGATGGTGGAATTTAAATATATTTTTAATTGACGTAGAAATAGTATTAGGGAAATGACTCAAATCTATCACATATCGCGTTGCCAATACAGCGAGTCGACCACAACTAACTTCATTATCCAAATTCCATTCTCAATTGGATGGTAGAATTTAAATTTGTATCAAAATTGTAGTAGAAATACTATTAGAGAAATGACTAAATCCTATCATATATCATCTTGCCAATAAGTTGAGTCGACCATAAGTAACTTCATTATCCAAATTCCGTTCTCAATTAGATGGTGGAGTTTAAATTTGTATCAAATTGTAGTAGAAATATTATTAGAGAAATGACTAAATCCTATCATATATCACCTTGCCAATAAGTTGAGTCGACCACAAGTAACTTCATTATCCAAATTCATTTCTCAATTAGATGGTGGAGTTTAAATTTGTATCAAATTGTAGTAGAAATATTATTAGGGAAATGACTAAATCCTATCATATATCACCTTGCCAATACGTTGAGTCGACCACAACTAACTTCATTATCTAAATTCCGTTCTCAATTGGATGGTAGAATTTAAATTTGTATCAAATTGTAGTAGAAATATTATTAGAGAAATGACTAAATCCTATCATATATCACCTTGCCAATAAGTTGAGTCGACCACAACTAACTTCATTATCCAAATTCCGTTCTCAATTGGAGGGTAGGTAGGATTTAAATTTGTATTTAATTGACGTAGAAATATTATTAGGGAAATGACTAAATCCTATCATATATCACCTTGCCAATAAGTTGAGTCGACCACAACTAACTTCATTATCCAAATTCCGTTCTCAATTAGATGGTGGAGTTTAAATTTGTATCAAATTGTAGTAGAAATATTATTAGGGAAATGACTAAAACCTATCATATACCATATCGCTTTGCCAATACGTCGAGTCGAACACAACTAACTTCATTATCCAAATTCCATTCTCAATTGGATGGTGGTAGAAAATAAATTGTAGTAGAAATATTATTAAGGAAATAACGAAATCCTATCATATATCACCTTGCCAATACGTTGAGTCGACTAACAACAACTAGCTGGCTAGTTGTGTTAGTCGATAGTCGCTAGCTATACCAAATTCCGCCCGACAGATCGATTCGCAAATTGTGTTGTGCAAACGTTGCCACACAAGTGGCCTCTCGAAGTATACACGTCCTCGGAACAATGAGTTGGCTTCGAATAACCTGTGTTAGATACCAGGAAATTAAGCTTCTGGAAGACGCTCGACTGACCAGTTTAGTAGTCTAAATATAGGGCTAAATGCGGTAAACATATAAGAAAATAGGACTCCTATTTTTTTATTATTGACGGGTAAGTAAAGCGGTATGCTAAACTGCTAGACTATCAATAGTCTAGCAGTTTAGCATACCGCTTTACTTTCGATGGTTGCGGGTTTGATTCCTCACTTAACACAAACATTTGTCTGTATTCTTAGATATGATCGTTTGTATCGATGTGGATATTTTCTATGTATATTATGTATGTTATATTATGTATTTACAAAAAAAATATAAATGTTGGCTAATAGCCATAACATAAGCCGTGATACTAGATGGCGCTGTGTTAATTGTACTGTAATTAATAATAGTTGTAATTTATTTGTTACTGTACCCGCGACATTGTCCGTATGGAATTTAACTTTATTTTTCTAAAATATTTTTTTTTCTAAAGTAATAGTAGCCTAAGTCACTCCTTATTACATCAGCTATCTGCCAAAAAAAGTCCCGTCAAAATCGGTCCAGCCATTTCAGAGATTAGCCGGAACAAACAGACCGACAGACAGACGACGAAAATTGTAAAAAATGATATTTTCCTGTATGTACCGTATTTATATTCATATGCATGTAGTAAACGGTTACTTCAATATTACAAACATACACTCCAATTTTATTTATATGTATACATTATTTACACTTTCACATGTACAGTAACACTGTGGCACCTTTGATAGATTTACATAATCAAATAATTTAATTATTAAAATTAGATCAAGGGATTAGTTGGAACGGACTATCATTGCTAATTTACGGTTTAACATTAATTAAATTTTGTCGATTTCATTGGTATATTACATTAAAAGGGAATAACAATATGTATATATAAATATATGTACCTAAATCCATATTAATCCAATCTAATAATTTATTTTATTTTATTTTATTTATTTGAGCGACTAACAAGACATACACCATGAGGTTACAATTATTATAACTTGCAAAGAGTTCAGGTATATAGTGTTGACTTAATTACTGGTTGCCACGGCATGCGATATTGTTTACAGAAGTTTATATATATATATATATATACAATTTTTTTTTTAATAGAGGGGAAAGATTGATGGTAATGTGGACTGATCTTATTGCTAGCAAAGTACCACGTCAGGTTGACTTCCACACGTTAAGACGCTGAAAACTGTAGCTTCCTATGATGTCCTGAAAAGTATTATTTATAAGTTAAAACAGATTATTATATACACTTTGATCGCCGTACCAATGTAACGTTAATTGTCAAAGCTGCTTTGATTTCCACGATCTACAGCTGTCTGTAGCCTTGTGTGGGGTTATAGTTACAATGTTACTTA